AAATTGGCGGCTATTGTTAATTAACCGGGATCGACCAATCAGGCAGCTGAGAGCACATAACCTGCTGGTTAGCTTTTATCGATGGATTATATAAGAATGCACCTCTCATATAAGATCCTTAACGGATTAACTTAATGAAAATAAGAAGATCACAAACTGGGATGACAATGTGGAGAAAGCATTTGCCGTAGTTTAAAAATGATTTCGCGAAATAGGCTAAGCTGGCACACCTTGACGTCGAATTACCTATCGGTATCGCATCGGACTCAGATGTCAACGGAGTCTAACAACAATCAGTAAACAACATTTAACATGGTTTGGCATTCTGGAGATATGTGCAAGATACTGATTAGAGGTATGGTATTTTTGGCATTAAAATCCCTAATACGTATTGTGCTGTGGGTCATTTTTTAACATTGTGGAAGACCAAAAATTTCGACTGTTTACTTACTATTACCTTCTGATTTTCTCTTTGAAGTCATTTTCAGACCTTCATCTAGAGTTTCAGATATCGGACTACATCTTGCAGTTTACTTCGCATATTAAGGTATATTTCTGGGGAAAATAATGTAGTTGCAGACGCGTCGCCCCATATAACCTCCATGAACAGTTTCTAAGATATTTTCTAGTTCTAACAATGAAATACTGAACAAAAGAAAAAGTGATCCGATGACTGAGTTAATGTACACAACCCATTTACGCTCAGCAATGAGTGAAATATACGACATTCGGCAGTAACACAAGACTCAGATTAACAAACTCCAAAGATCGAAACCAGAAGCAGATACCATGAAGTTTTGAATAAGTTATATAAATAGTGTATTGATTAGTTCATAAGTCAAGTTTACTCACAATTGATATGAACCAAAATTATATACTAAATGTAGACGTGACCGGATATATCTGGGTATAACCAATAGAAGGTTTTTTTATATTATCCCAGTTACAAAAACTGAATTCACTTATCACTGTAGTTCCCATTTATTATTGTATCATAGGCAAAAACTAGGTATAGAAACATGACAGTGCGGATACATCAACAAAGTTTCGACGACTTAGAGATTGAAGTATGCCACAAGCAAACGAACCGTAATCAAAGCATAAAATCAAAACAGAACTACCTTAGGTAGTAGTGAAGATAAATTCAGTGAACTAGCTAACAAAAACATATTGTGCGAGTGATTGTAGTCCTTAGTCACGTACACGTTTGTAAAACAAGGACCATTGCATTTGTTTAAATGTTTTAAACACTATCTTAAGACCAAAAAGTGGATGACATGTTTAGTTAGGTCGATACAGATTTTCACTGACAATTCCGTACTTTTACTACGCGAAAGATCCAGGTGATAAATCTCGAAAACACTTACTTATACAAAACTATCTTCATTCTGCTAGGTTTACTGAACGGTGCAGAAGTTTTCATTGAAGTCACCTCACAGACTCAATACAAGTGAAAACCGGTGTTCAACAAAGTTGTTTATTCTTCCTTTTTCTCTTTCTTTTGGTGGTTGGCCGTATTATAAAAGCCTCAACATCTCAAGAGAAGCATAAAATACGGTGGATAGCTCGGATGAAGTGATATAATGCCGACTGGTCAAATGACCTAGCTATTCTATCCCACACATGGCAAAAAATTCAGGTGAAGACAGATAGTGTAGCTACGGCCTCTTTATTATTAATTTTCAAAATACACAAGTAAAAAATCAAGATCTTAAAATGCTACATCCTAAGTAGCAATCAAGCCACACTTGATGGTGGGGCCCTAAAAAACGTAGAAATGTTAACGTGCCTTGGTAGCATCAGGTACAATTTACACTTCGCATTCTTGGGATTGACTGTACCTTAAATTATAAACTCAAACGTGATAAACTTGAGCCCGACCGTTTACGGAAGATAAAACCGTAACTGAATCTTATCTTTTTCATGAAAATACTTAACGAATCATCTTTTACAACCAATAAAGCAATTCAGTATGCAAAAACTCTTAGTTATAGCATCCGTAATTCTTTCTTTAGTGATACAGTCACATTCTAAATATTCTCCATTCATTGGTCGACAATCTGAAAACATTTTCAGGAAAACGGAACCATTCTAAGTTAGAACCATTGTGTGGTAGGTTTAGCTGCCTCATTCAACTGCTTTTTTTCTAGTTGCTTCGGCTGCATATATACATTCACTCACAAACACAGGACTTGTGGAAAATTTCCTGGATACACGCAAAGTTACTTACTAATACGGTCAAACGTATAGTTGCAATTTTGGAGTAATTTCAGACTCTATTCCTTGTAGTCATAGTATATATTACTAAATTCTCCTTTCCGAAATCCCTTTTTTTGTGTACCTCGTAGCTTAATTATCTCGGTTTTCACCTCCTAATCTCCCTGGTATCATGTTAAGTAATAAGATCGCTAGTACATCGTACACTATAACAACCAGGAAAACCTGTAGAGGCATGAACCCCGGGGTTAATAGTGCGTCGAAAATCTCAATCTCGCGCGAAAAAGTTGTTAAAAAACCCAAACCGTCAGTTGATAGAATCCCTCACAGTGTCCATACTTTAGATCAATCAACGCAGACACCACAGAGGAAGAAATACACCACTCCTATTCCTAAACGACCAGTAAGCTAGTTAAGAATAGGAGAAAAAGACGTCCCAAGGCTTAGTCGATACAGTACAACGTCCAGACAATGTACCTCAGTCACACTACACACTCGGGAATAGAAGAACATGGGTTAGGTGCGGCACTGAAAGCTTACTACGGGCGAAGAGGAGAGCCTGTCACAAATGGAAGGTACCTTTCAAGGATTCTGATCGTAGTTCCTACTTTGCATTGAGAAACAGATGCGATACCATGGTTCGAAGTGAAAAATGGCGATTTTAGATGCAGCTAGCTGCCAAAATGGATGCAAACGCGAGGCTTCTGCTTGGGTTCATGACTAAAAGAAACCCTACTAATCAAGGGTTGTGTTCTCTCAAAGGACCGAACGGGGAAGACCTCACCAACCTAGAGATGGCCGAGATCTTCAACACTAAGTTTTCTGATAAGTTAAACCATGCACCCACATGTTCAGTGTACTACGCCAACCCGTTGCCAGCTGACGGCTTAGGGAACATCCGTATCACCCCTGGCTTGGTGCAAGGGAAACTAAAATCCTAATGCCTAGGAAAGTTACCAGGTTGTTACAATATTCGCTCCATAGTCTTGAAACAATGTACAGAAGCCCTCTACTCACCGATATGTGACCTGTTCAGGCATTCACTGTGGTAACACCAACTCCCAGCTGAATGGAAACAAGCTACTCTCTCCCCAATCTTCAAAGGAAGAGACAGAAAGGACTCAGCCTGTTACAGACCAGTCACACTACTACCAATACTGTCAAAGGTAATTAAAGGGCTAGTGAACAAACAAATGAGGGAGTACATGGATAAGAATAAAATACCTCACGAAGCTCAACACGGGTTTTGGAAAGGTAGGCCGTGCGCATCTAATCTTCTCATAGCTTTGGACATTTGGTTTTCATGCTTGGACTGAAAAATACCGGTGCACGTAATATTTCTCGACTTCGCAAAAGCATTTGACACAGTGCCCCACGTACGCCTAATCAAAAAGGTTGTGAAAATAGGCTTCACCGACTCGCTCCTATCTTGGCTCAGAAACTACCTTGAGAATCGAAAGTTTCGCACCAAGGTAAATAGAGTGCATGCGAGCTGGCGAGTATCCACATCGGGAGTTTCACAAGAGAACATCCTAGGCCCACTTCTCTTACTGATATTTATTAACGACCTGTTAGGCTCAGTCAGCTCAAGGCATTGATCTACGCAGACGGTGCGAAGATCTGGAGGTCCATTAGAAGCGAAACGATCTATACCCTCAATGGAAGTCCGCTCCCTAATGTCCCCCCATAGCGCGATCTCGGTTTAATAACCACAGAAAGCCTCCACACGAGTCCAAACTGTGTAGTTGACTTAGCTAAGGCAAATGCGACTCTTCACTTTATGCGAAGACAACTTGGAGCTATCACCCCACAGTTATTTTTGACCCTATTTAAGACGTACGCGCGCCCACACCTGGAGGTTTACAATGTCACCGCACCCCCTCTGCTTAAAAGAGACATAAATCTCTTGGATCGAGTGCAGAGACGAGCAACCACATGGGTTATAGGGTTGAAAAATAAACCTTACGACGATAGACTCCAGCTCTTTGGATTATTTCCACTGAGCTACAGGAGAATCAAAGGTGATCTGATTATGGCGTACAACATATTAAGCACACAGAACCATCCCAACGTGAGCATCTTACCGATGCATCATCACCACTCCCCTCGAGGCAATCCTCGAAAGATTGCACATCAAAGAGCAAATACTCAGGTCCATGCACACTTTTTCTCACTGCGAGTCGTCGCAACTTGGAATGCTCTCCCAGCTGAGGTGACCACAGCCCCCTCAGTAGACAGCTTTGAGAAGAGACTTGATAATCATGTACTCACATACGGACTATCATCTCCCTCTCTGACAAGCTGTTCATGATGCATTTCTTGAGACCTGGTAGCTGTTATCATTGCCATATTCTCAGATCACTTACTTAATCTATCTCGCCTTTCATCTCGGTTCCCTCCATCTTGCTTACACTACGGTACTCTCTCACAATCTTCATTACCAATTAACAAACTGAATTCCTCTTTATATTACTCATTTCTGAAATTTCATTCATATTAGCATTAGAACTTTATCCTTACTATCCTTATTACTCTCCACACCGCAGCTAACTGACTTCCCGTATGTTATTGTGATGGCTGCTGGTATCCAGAAACCCTACTGCCCTGAAACAAACGTTTCCATTCAAATCCCGAGACACAAATTCACAACCAACTGCTAACTGACTAGAATTAGACAGTCAAGTGGCTAGACCTCCATCCATTGGACGTTACCGAACACCTGGAACCGTATCGAAAGAACAAGAATCGTGCGCAAACAAATTAATCGGTTTACACTAGTTCGTGAAAAAGATATTGGATATTGGAATGCCGGAGGTCGTCATGGGAAACTGGTCTTGGCACAATTCTGAAACATTTATAATATGGTAGACTGTGCAGATACATTCAGTACTACAAGAAATGACGACAAGGAGACAATAGTTAAATCTGAAGTTAATGATACAAACCTCAATACAAAGACTTCGCTTTTTCACGGAGCTGCTTGGTACGTACCGTCTGAACGACGCTGGGTGAATTACGATGACTATCGCGCACTCCCAAGAGTAACGAACAGAGATGCTATCGATTTTCAGTCCGAAGAAGATTTCATGGGCTTTTTAAAAAAACGTGATGTACCAAACTGTTAGTATGACTTGCTTAACTAATATTTATCAATCTGTGTTTATAAATGACTAGATAAGAAGATCACAGCTTATTACCCTTCTCATCCGCCTTCTATCAAGTTTGGAACTTGTTATCAGGTTCCTTCGGCCCAAGTAGGAAGCGAAAGTCATCACAGAACCAAACCAAACAGTATTTGTGGATATGAATATTATGAATACTATCATCAGGTAATCAATTTTCGAAAATTTGAAGGTTTTAACGGTCAAGATCATTGTCATTTTTTCCATAACACCATAGAACATGTTTCCAAAGACAAACATGTGTGTCACTTTTTATCAGTGTAACAGTTATGGAAAGTTTGTAACAATACGTAATTGTTTTTTATATAGCTATGGGACATCTAGTACTTTTTTTATCCTCAATTGTTTATTACTTCCTCCTAAATTATAATTTGGACTCTGATCCTCATAGTTTATCCGAACCAAATACATTTACCGTCCCAATTTTGGATATCTGTCCTCACAAAATTATTGATTAAGTAAACTATTTCCTATCCAGTCTGAATCATCAAGGATTGAATGAAACCATAATTAATTAACAAGAGATCTTCAAAAATCTTTCTGACCCCACTATATGCGTAGATTTGTTTCCGAAAAACATTTGTCTCCCAGCTGTCTCGTAATCTTTATTATTAATAACAACTTGTTAATGAACTTTTACTCAAACTACTACATATGAGGATAATACTCCAGATTTCAAAATTCAAGATTATAAGTGAAATCTTACCCTTGAGAATGTTCTAGGTTTGGGTCCCCGTAGATAGTAGTCTAATCAACGATTTTTCCTGGGATGATGAAATTATGGTGTAATATAGTAAGGTAGTATCATAATAGTTTACAAAACGGCTCAGATGTTTTTATAAACGTCCTGTCTTCGTAACATAATAAATTCTTTCTACGTCAGCACATGTTTTATCAGCACTCCTCATTAATCCCATATTATTTTAATATACAGCTAAAAAGAATGCTTTGCATACTGTGGTATGTCTAAGAACTGTGAAAATCGTAGTATTTGAACAGTTTTATAAGTTTTGTAAAAATATTTTAGAATTTTTCTGAGTCTTTGATATAAAGCTGGGATGCTATCATTTCACTACATGAAAATAAACGTTGATCAGTTAAAGTTCAAAAGGTTACCAAAGCACAACTTTTAAAAGCACAGTCCTAATATTTATTTGGGTTCGGCTTCTTCTGTCGTCATGATAACCGTTGCTAACTGATAGTCCTAAGCATGTTTAAATGAGAAGCGATGGGCAAGGGTATAGCGACCTCGTTTCGTGGAAAACAATGTTTCCAAAAGAACTCTGACCAGAAAAACCACCTAGACCACTTACGCTCTGACCTAATCGTTGGAAGGTCTTTATTTAAAAATGTTATAACGCCTCACTGCGAAAACCCTGTTACTCCAACAAAAACAAACAAGATGAAAGCGAATAGTTGACAAGGTCGAAAGACGTGTAGATAATTCGAGAAGAAAAGGTTAATTAGTTTTTCCTAATGTAAGAACAAGCCCTGTGTGCTCAATATGCTGGTAGACAAACTGCAGATTGTATAGGTAAGATATTCCAGACCATCAACTATAACCTACTGTGGTAGAGAACAAACCAGCTTCCAGCCAAAGAGGATATTCGACAAACACAATGAAGGTAGATAAGACGCAGTGCATCAGTCACTAAACTGTGCCACAAGGTAAGCCTCCACTTGGAATTTCCAAGTCAGAAGGAAAAGAAAGAAGCGAAAGTACACATTGCGTCAGGAATCAAAGGTAGACATCTAAATCATGAATAGCATTTAGGAAGGAAAACTCAGACCATAGTTGGTCAGGGAGTCATGGTTGCTAGTCTACGCTCTGCGGGAGACAGGCGTAATTAACCCTTGTTACACAGCTAGATAATCTAGTCTGGATATTGACTTAATTATCTATAATGACCAGAGATTCGTAGCATTAAAATTATCTCCAGCTAGAACTATCTTGTTCTTTCCAAACATCTGTGTCAGTTGTGTTAAATATCAATGATCATTAAGGATATTTGAAGTGTTTACGACAGCACCTGAAGTAAAAGGAACAGATGCGTTCATTTTTGTTGTTTGTAGGCTTGTCTTGAGGAACAACCACTGAAGTCTTTCAGGTATGTTTTAGCGGGAACTCCTATTCTTGTGTGCACAATTTAGACTAGTGATCAGTGAATTGATGAACCAATATCCGACTTTTGGTGAGAAATTTCCAACAAGTCTACGGGAGCTAATTAAAGACTTATGATAATTCTTTAAAAATTTGATTTTTCAGTGTAGAAGATCAGAGTTATACGTGCTTATGAAACCATAAAATTACTAGGTTTTGGAATATCAGTAAAATCTTCCGATTTAACTATCCAGTTCGATGGAAGAAAGGGAACCAGGAACGTTCATCTGGACCTTAAGTCCTTTTCATCATTTTAGTAGATAAATCTCTGAAATGTTTCCTTAGTTCCACAGTTGGCCAAAAGTGTCTGGTGCACTATCATAAAAGCAGCTCGAGTATGCTAGGCAAAATTGAATTCCTTGATTTTGGCTTTCTCATGGCATACATGACTTTTTGTATTATAAGAATTAAGGTAAGGGAGAAACGGTGTTTTAAATATATGTTCTGATTAAAGGTTTAATCAGGGGTAAGTAACGACAACTAATGGATTTTCAATATTTGTGTTGAAACTTTTCCAAATAGTGAATATGCTTCTCCATTGAGAGTGAAATGTCAATAAGTGTATTTTAAACATTCTAGACATTTTGATTTAACAGTTTACTATAAATAAATGAATAAATAATACGACGTATATTCATGGTTGTTTTTGATTACAGATACTTGATGAAATGAAGACAGGTGATTATAGAAAATTATCACCTCCTGATGTGACTGTTTGCTCTATTCCAAGCGTTACACATAATCAAATATGGTGATCACTTAGATTATTTTGCTGAAAAGAATTTTTTTTTTTCAGCTGTCAGTTGAAAATAATATTCAAAATCAGAAAACTTATCTGAATTTATTTCTACTTATTTGCTTGTTAAACTTAAAAATTCATGTATGGTCTTATCTAATGCAGAAAACACATTTTAAAGTTCTAATCACTACCATGTGTTTTCTTAAAAACTTCTAACAAATATGAATTAAAAGCACTAAATTTCTCTCATATTTGTTCAAGATAAATGAGTTTATTCCTGATTCAAAAGATAAAACGTTCTCTTCTCGATCATATACATTGTTTCTATATGCTTAACCAATTGAGTGATTTATCAAATTAAATTTTATTTTAATCAGTTCGTCGTAATTTAGTTCAGAAAAATTTCTCAATCTTAATCTGTGTAGTAGTAGTAGTAGTAGGTTATGCTGTTCTTAGATTACACCATAAAATAGTATTACTTCTTGAGTACTGAGGAAAATTATACAACAATGCAGTTGATGATTGAATCTTCTAAATGTTTTAATACGAAGCACAAATTCATCCAAGTCTCATGTTTCAGTAAAAACTAGGCATTCTATGCTACTGATCAAATTTATCTCCAAGGTTTGTTTATTTTGCTTAAAACTATTTTAGTGCAATACTTCATGTTGTGAGTGTTCAGTCTGAGTCTTTACCAAATTTACTTAAAATGGGTAAGACTGAATTACGAATATTTCATGTTTTTCAAACATAAAAAATATAGCAGTAAGCAAAGGAACAAGGAATAAATAGTCACTCAAACATTCACAGTAACAAAAAAGGGAGGTAAATTTGTAGTTCAGGTGAATGAATATGGAGTTTCGTAATTGGATTTGACAAAAATGATGAATCAACTATGAACTGAAAATTCTTGTAAAGTTCTCAAGACAGTATTTAGTGGATGTAAATAAATATATATATATATATATATATACATATATATAATATTCGTTTCGGTGACCGATAGCAGTTTATTTTTTAGCTTCATCAGCTGGAAATGGTTTAAATGAAATTAGCTAGCTAGTAGGGCTATAGGCGGAGTTACAAGTTTCCAGCTGAAAATGTATCTTTAGAAGAAAAATATATTGTTTTTTTTCGATAAACCAACCTCTTAGTCAGGGTTTATACATGTTACTTTGATTTTCATGTAATTCAGTTGCCAAATACTCAGCTTTCAGTGATAGTTTATCGATCAAGCCTAGTGAGGCAGCCTGGCTGTTGAAAATCAAAACAGGGTAAAAACCGAAAAGTTGAAAATGAAGAATTTCACTCATTAAACTACCACTACAGAGCTTTCTGTATAACTGCCCGCTACCAAAGTAATCTACTACTGTTATGTCACTATAGTTATATGCTTGAACATCTCTTGGAGTATTATGTGGATTGCGAAATGTCAAGTTACAAAACTCCTCGATGTGATTTTTATTTTTGTAACATATACGAAATCCGTATATTTATTCACCACTGTACAACAACGTTTTAAGTCTTAGATTGATCACGAACGTGGATAAAATGCTTCTAGAGAACAGAAAATATCTAAAGAAGATCTTGATGTAGTTATGTTTTGTACCTCTAGTTTGGTTAGATAAGTACACATGTTTAGCTTTATGATATGACTGAGCAATCCGTTTAGTATCCAATAATTTAACACAGCATGTTTAGGACAGTGTGAACACTGATACCACATTAGCTGATGATCATTACCGACTACTTTATTCCAAGTTAATTAATTCAGGGCAACACTGAGGGAGTTAAGATATACGACGCAGATATAATAAGCTTTTGAAAAAAAAACTGGAAAAGTTCATCAAACAATATTATTTATTCTAATTTCATTGTGATAATTCCATTATTTCACTATGATGCACTGTAAAAATATAGTCTCGAAAAGATAAAACATATCTTTATGAACACATCAGAATTCGAATGAGTAGTCTCAATGAAACTAGATTCCAATTATGTAAAATGAAGTAAAGTTAGGGTTAAATGAATAATTATCTCAGGGGTTGCAATTTAAATCATACAAATATTTCACCTGAAAATTCATTTCAAGCTTCTTTAAATTAATCATCAAACATTTATGAAATCCAGGCTAAATGACTGCGTAATACAAACCAT